AAAAAAAAAAAAAAATACAGTTCTTTATAGAGTTACTATCTATTATACATAAAGAGAATCAGCTATGCTTCCAAATATCTTTGATAAGTGGCTGTATTCATATCATAAAACTATATACACTGTACAGTGATGCCTGTTTCTTGCAACCAAACCAACCCTAAATTCAGGTTTTGACAATTAGATGGAATTTTATTCTTGTATTATTACTTTGCTTGATTACTGGTAAGGATAGCCATTGTCTGTATTTATTGGCCTTTGGCCTTTTGTCTTTCTTTTCCTAGGATTTATTTATTCATCCATTTGAATAATTTTTCTAGTTTTTTGCTTTTTTTATTAGTGATTTTTAGGAATTCTTTCTGGCTTCTTTTTTTTAATTTAATTTTTAATTTTTTGGAGATAGGGTCTTGCTCTATCACCCAGGCTAGTGTGCAGTAATGTCATCATAGCTCACAGCGGCCTTGAACTCCTGAACTCAAGGAATCCTCCTGCCTCAGCATACTGAGTATCTGGGGCTACAAGAGAGCATTGCCACACTCAAATACTTTTTCTATTTTTTGCAGAAAGGGGAGTCTCACTCTTGCTCAGGCTGCTCTTGAACTCCTGGCCTCAAGTGATCCTCCTGTTTGAAAGGATTTCAAACATGAGCCACTATGCCTGGCTGGAGTTCTTTTTAACTTCTAAGTTTATGCTCTTTGTTTTAAACCTTTGCAAGGTAATGTAAATATTTTAATTAATTGACTTCAAACTTTGTTTATGGTGTTGTGTGACACTTAGAGGCTTTAAAGATTTTTTTGAAACAATGCATGTCATTTTTAAGTTATATTGCTTTTGCTGTTTGGTTCCTTTTTTTTTTTTTAAATTCTGGGTTAATATGAGGTTTCATTTTTTGGAGGTAATAGTTCCTGGCATCACATATATTTCTGTTTCTTAATAATTTTATTTTTATTTTTAGGCTGACAGTTCATCCACCTTTATTTGTGCATCATTAAGGTTTTGTAGTCACGTAGAATTTCTCCCACTGTGTATTAGCTGTGTATACACAGTGGGAAGGGCATTTGGGTGGACCATTTAGGAGTTCTGCAGGTCATTTTCTTTGATAACAAATTTTTTGTACATTCCTGGCCTGAGATTAGAAACTATCTGTATCTTGGTGTGAAGATGAAACAAGATGATGCTTATGTTAATTAAATGGTTTACATTTCAGTTGCCTAATGGTGGAGATTTGATTTATAGGAATCTTTCAGTCTCTAAGTCAACTCTAGCTGCAGGGATTACTTCATCTTCTCCACCACCCCAAAAGGTCTGTGAAGGCAGGACCTGTGTGTCGGTCTTGATCTATGCCTTGGACGTGGGGAGTAAGCAACATTTTTTGAATGAGTAATTAAATTCATGGAAATAGAGAACAAGGAAATAAAGAAATGCAGATCATGATGTGAACATTCCAGTTTTTTTGGATGCTGTTGGCTTGAAAGTCCTTTTAGGCTTATTGAATTTTAGGATCTGGAAGCCTTCATAGAAAGGAGTGGACATAGGAAAGGGCTAAACCCAAAGTAACTGAGAAGTTGGGCCACAGTGGGGAATTTGCTGAGAGTTTGCAAAGAACACTGTACGGGAGAGAAAAATTCAATTTTCTTTTCTTTTTTTTTTTTATTAAATGATAGCTGTATACATTAATGCAAACATGGGGTACAGTGAAGAGTTTTCATATACAATTTGAAATACTTTCATCAAGCTGGTTAACATAGACTTTATGTCATTTACTTAGTTATTGTGTTAAAACATTTACACTCTAGTTCTAGAAAAGTTCACTTGTACCCTTGTTAGACAGACCATATAGGTGATCTGGAAAATGTTCTTCTTAGCAAAGTATCACAAGAATGGAAGAAAAAGTATCCAATGTACACAGCCCTATTATGAAACTAATTTATAGCTCTCAAATGAAAGCTACAACTTAATTCTAGCCTAGGAATATGGGGAGGGGGTGGGGAAGGAGAGAGGAGAAGGGTGGCTGGGTGGTGGGAGGGTAATTGGAAAAATTCAATTTTCTATAGGAATCAAATATCACGCATGGCCTCCATGACTTCCTTAACATTGCTGACACGATGAATTTCTTGAGACATATACAATAGTCTTTCCCTCCTGCTTATACTTCATAGAAGTTCAAATTTTCCATGAGAAAAGGAGAATATATAGTTGAGATCTTTCTAATGAACCTGAAACAATAATTTTTTAGAAATGATATATAAGACTGTAGAAAGATAATATGCAAGTTATATTTTAAAAAGAAATTAAAAATTTGTTAAATAAGTAGATTTTAGATGCCTGTGCCACAAAGATAACTATGTGAAAGGATAGATATAATAATTTGCTTCACACACATATATAGCCATTTTATTATATATAAATCCTATATATATATCCCGTGACATCATGTTATAAACCTTAAATGTACACAATATAATTATTATAAAAAAATTATCCTAGCACAGAGGCTTATGCCTGTAATCTTAGCATTTTGAGAGGCGAAGGTGGAAGGATAACTTGAGCCAAGGAAGTCAAACCAGCCTGGGCAACACACTGAAACCTCATTTCTACCCAAAATAGAAAAAATAGACAAATGTGAGGCCTGACACCTGTGGTTCCAACTACTCAGGAGGCTGAGGTGGGAGGATCGCTTGAGTCCAGGAGTTGGATGCTGCAGTAAGCTGTGATCATGCCATTGTACTCTAATCTGGGTGATAGAGAAAGACTCTATCTCAAAAAAAAAAAAAAAAAGAAAGTAAAAAAAAAAAATCTTGCTGAGTAAAGCATCCTGGTATATGTCCCAGAAACCGAAGTAGTCTTACTTTCCTCATTTGTCATATTGGAGTGTAATTATACATAGAGTCCAGAGAAGAGGTGAGAAAATAGAGCTAAAAGGTCTTTAGAAGTCTAAACTAATAAATGTCAGTTATTACTTAAAATTGCCAAGAGTTGTATGATGTTATCACTGTTTGTTCTTCCTGGTTTTACAAGGGGTAGAGAGTGCTTACCAGAGGCACTATGTATTACCCATTGGTAGGCCTGTTAAGAAAACCTAATTTCTAGATAGCGCTTATTTGTTTAGTTTATAAAATACATAGCATTTCCCTGATTTTGCCCATTTTTAGTGGTGCTGAAAGATTATGAGATTGAGTTGTATCTAGAGAAAAAAGCTAAAATAATTTATCTCTGAGAAGAATGTACATCACTGCTTCATTTATCAACCATTCATGGCACATAGTAGGAATAGTTGTGAGACTTAAGATGAGCACAGTTCCCTAGGGAGTAAAAGGAAAGGGTTTTTAAAGAGCATACATTGAACCTGAGATGTTGCTAATGGTTAATGAGTCCAAGAGCCATCCCAGCAGACGCCATCCTGGATACACCCTGGTTACCCAGTGGGACAGGTTGTATGCTGCTGTGGATCAGTAGTGAAGTGCTCAGAGAGCAATGCGTGATCTTACCGTGCTGGGTTAGGACGTGTCAGAAATAGCCCTGCTGGAGAGTGTGTATGTCTCAGCTTCAGGTCTCAATTTCCTCATCTTTTTGAACCATGTCCTGTACTGCTCCCGGACCTGCAGAGGCAACATATGTTCTGAGTCAGCTCACTGAGAGCGGTGAGTATGGGAAGGGTCCTGGGTGGGAGGAGGGGAATGGTACCTGCTGGCTGAGGAGGCAGTAGACCAGGAAGATGAAGACACCCTGCAGCGTGTTGATGATGGTGAAGAGGTAGGCCATCACCTGGGCCACTGGACCCACCTGCAGAATGCCCAGACACCATGTGCAGCCCAGGATGAAGAGCTGAGCTGTTGCTTTAAATGTCAGCATTCTGGGTTGGGTGAGAAAGGAGGCAGGTGATACACACAGAGGAGCAGAATCAAGGCTGTCCTTAGGTCTCTCCATGGGTGCCCCTTCTCTTGCCTGTAGGTGATTTCTGAGACTGATTATGATCAGCTTAGATATTTGCTATCTATGATACCCCACAATCAAAATGCCACGTGAGTCCAGGGTGGCATTTTGACTTGGATCAAGGACAGTGACACTTCATAGTTCACATTTCAAAAATGTTATGATGCTCCATGAAGATCCCTAATTTCATTTAAGCAACATTACTGAGGGTGTAATGTGTGCCTGGCTGTGTGTTGGAGCATGGGCATTATATATACTAATAACAAAGAGAAGATTTTTATTTTCATAAGGTTCACAGTCTCTTTAAATGAGTAACACAACCAAAGAATAACATGTGAAATTTGGAAAGGTTAATGCCCTTTCGCCAAGCCAAAAGCGTGCCTGCAGGAAAGGGCTGCTCAAACCTCCATGAGGATTTGATGCTGACTTGGGGTTTTCCAGAGGGAAGATTGGTTGAGGGGTGAGAGGGAGCCTGGACTGAGGGTAGGATATGTAAGTGCAGACTGTGTGGTAGGAACAGTCATGAAACCATAAATATCCTTTGCACTTTTGTCATAGGACTGCTGATGAAAGTCCAAAGAATATTGATTTTTTACCTTTTGTTTTTTAACTGAAGCATAATATTTGTACATATGTATGGGGTACATGTGAGATTTTGTTACATGTGTAGAGTGTGCAATGATCAAGTCAGGGCATTTGGGGTATCCATCACCTGGAGTGTCTGTTGTTCCTATGTGTTGGCAACATTCCAAGTCTTCTCCTCTAGGTATTTTGAAATACACACTACATTATTGGTACCCACAGTCACCTGACTCTGCTATCAAATATTAGAACTTATTCTTTCTGTGTAATTGTATATTTGCACCTATGAACCAACTACTCTTCATCCTTCTAGCCCCCACTCTCATACACTTTCAAGCCTCCGGTATTTATCATTCTATTGTCTAACTCTATGAGATCAGTTCTTTTTTTCTTTTTTCTTTTTTTGAGGCAGGATCTAATTCTGTCACCAGGGCTGGAGTACAGTGGTGTCATCAAAGCTCACCACAACCTCAAGCTCCTGGGATCAAGGAATCTTCCTGCCTCAGCCTCCTGAGTAGCTGGGGCTACAGATGCAGGACACCATGCTCAGCCAATTTTTCTACTTTTTGTGGAGATGGGAGTCTTGCTCTGTCTCAGGCTGGTCTTGAGCACTCACCATTAAACAATTCTCCTTCCTTGGCCACCCAGAGTGCTGGGATTACAGGTGTGAGCCACAGCTCCTGGCCAAGAGCAACTTTTTAATGCTGCCATATGAGTGAGAACATGTGATATTTATCTTCATGTGCCTGGCTTATTTCACTTAACATAATGACCTTCATTCCATCTATGTTGCTGCAAATGACATGATTTCATACTGTTAAGTGGAAAAATAGTATTTCATTGTGTATATGTAGCACTTATTAACTAATATCAATTTTTCCTATTGCTGAGGGATTCATAAACTAGGTTTAGAGGTGCATCGAATATTTTGCATGGGATGTAGCAGCAGACCACTGGACTTGAGTCAGTTGTCATGGAAGGATGACCACATCTGTTTACTCTAGAAGACCCTGAGAAGCAACATGAGGGGCTGTTGAGACACACTGCTATACTTTTGGGAACCATACATGTCTGCGTAGTTATCACTCTCTTCTCCAACTTGCCTTGTATTCTGAATGGTAGACACTTCACTGTTGAGAGAGGATAGTCTGTTTCTCAAAATGCAGAGGGTTATCAAAAAGAAAGCCAAATTTACCTTGGGAAAACCACAAAACATTTATTGAACAAAATTTAATATTGTTATCTCCTCACCCTATTCTGTCCATTATACCTCTAAGTAGTTTCTCATTAAGTAACAATGTTAGAATTTGAGCTGGTTAGAATACCCAAGCTAACCCAACCCAAGACCACCCAGGGACATTTTTATTCTTGTCACCATACTTAGAATCCTGCTAATAATCCTCAGCTGGGCAGCAGGAA